CACAGGCGAGGAACACAGGGAGGCTGCATTTCTGGGACTCCCTAAATAATCTGCAGGCAGCTCAGTAATTCTTGTCCGTAGCAGTGCTCACTGTTCATCTGACCTTGGGAAGAGAGGCCTTGTGAATCTTGTAAGCTTTAGGACCCTCCTGAGCCTTGTGAGTTGTGTGTGCTTTTGTTTCAGTTCAGTTATGTTTGTGCCTTATGAGGGACACAGAGGGAATAGTAACTCAACATCAAATCACACAATGTAAATTCAGTTGTAAATCACCATTGACTACTTAGTTTGCAGTTAAACAGCTTTCAAAGATAGGAGTATACATCGGTTCTTCTTTGGAAGATAGTTTGTCATGTTTAAGATGTGTTAACAAAAAGAATGATTCCACTTTAAAGAGTGGGAAAGTTTATTTTGAACCAAACAGGAGTTACTGTGGCCTCGTTACTATGAGAGTGACATTGAGCCTAAAAGTGACTCGAACATTTATTTATAGGAGCAGCAGGCAGGGGCCTAAGCAGAGCTGTGCCTCTCTGCCTTAGCAGGTTCAGCTTTAGGGTTGGTGAAAGGTAGAGATCCACTAAGCTTAAGGGTGCATTCTGAGAACTTCTATCTATTAATTAGAATACAAAGTCAAGAAGAAAAATCGGTTACCTTGGCTATTTGAGAGCCTAGAATTGCCCAGGATAATTTTGCATTTGACCTGAAGCATTCCATTTCTCCACAAAAATGGTATGCTGCTCAGCCAAAGTCACCAGTGTGTAGGTGCCTCAGTATAGATGTAGCTTCTTCAGGTAACTTCATTACAAATGCATGTACTACTTGCCCCAGTAATTTCTCTGCTAGAAATTTATCCTAAAGATTTAAATATATGCAGAAATGTAAGACAGTGTGCTGGATGGCTTTAGTGTCAACTTGACACACCCGGGTTGAGGGAGCCTCAGTTGGGGAATTGCCTCTATTGGATTGGCCTGTGGCCGTGTCTGTGGGGCATTTTCTTGATTGTTGAGTGATGTGGAAGGGAGCAGCCCACTGTGGGTGGTGCCACTGCTGGGCAGGTGGGCCTGTGTTGGATAAGAGTGCAAGCTGAGTAGGGGCCAGGGGAGCAAGCCAAGTAAGCAGTGTTCCTCCGTGGCCTGTGCTCCAGCTCCTGCCTCCAGGGTCCTGCACTGTGTTCCTGCCTTGGGCTCCCTGATGAACTGTGACCTGGGAGATGTAAGACAAATAAAGCCTTTCCTCCCAAAGTTAGTAGTGGTCAGAGTGTTTTGTCACAGCAACGGAGAAACAAACTAAGACAGATGGCGTTCAAGAAAAAAATGAAAAAGGAGTTTGATTGGGAGAGCACCTTTATTATGGTTTTCTGTTGTTTGCTTTTTCGCCAGTATTTAGATTATGACCACGTACTACCATGCCCAGCTTAATTTTGTTTTCTTCCTGCTGTTCACTTTTTCCTTTACCTTATATAGGTTGGACACCCAAAATCCAGAATGTTCTACCGTTTCATCAGTATGACAGAGTTCCAGATTTAGAACACTTTAGATTTTAGGTGTTCACATTAGAGACGATCAGCTAGTAAAGTCCTAGGAAATGTACCAAAATCCAAGAACTGCTTGAGTCTGAAACACTTTGCTTCCCAGACATTGTGTATTCCCAACCTATATAGATTCCTCTTTTTATATTAAAGAGACGTTGTGGAAAGGGCTTTCTTACCACTGGTGGCCCAGTATCTGCAGATTCTTATTCCTGATGAACTTTTCTGTCTATATTTTTTCTCAGTAGTGCTAACAATAAACTTCTTTGGTTGCTCAGCTTGAGATTATGTAACAGTGGGTAACCTTAACTAACCTGTTGGTACCCGAGTCCATTTCTGATGGTAGACTTGCTATGATTTTACTGAGTATATGCGTTTTCCTGTTGCATGCACACACATCCATATAATAAAGTCCTGTTTTCTTTATTCATCTAATCACACATTCTTTAACCCTTACTTGATATTCTCATCCTTCACCACAAGTCCTTACCTCTTGGCCACCTGTCTTTGTTCCCACACTTGTGCACATAGCTATAGCATATATTTGTGTCTATGTATTGCACACTAACATAAACATGGATTTTTTGACTGCAATTTTTTTATACCCACTCACAAAACTTAAGTTACATTTTATTTTCTTAGAATTACATTATGCAACTCCCACAAAGTTACCTGAAATTTTCTTCATTTATTCTTTAATGATTGCATTGTTAAGTCAAAGTATTTTATAGTTTATTTAACCATTCTTGTACAGGTTGAAACAAGTCTTTGAGGAGACAAGCTAGGGATACATGTAACTCCTTGGTAGGGTACCCACACATGAGGCCCTGGATTCAGTCCCCAGTACACCAAAATAATAATAATGAAATGAGGAAATGAATAAGCAAATAACTGAGTAAACGAGAAATTGAAGCATAGTTGGAACTGAACATCTCTGACACACTTAGGCACAATCACTTTCAACTCTGTGCAGTGGATTCTTGAGTAGAATTGTAAATGGAAGTATGTATTTTCTGAGATTTCTTTCTGAGTGGTTTTTGTAAGTTAGATCAGGTACCTCTGAAAGGTCATTTTCTTTTTCACAAAAGTGTTAGCACATTGTTAGTATCTATTTCCCTAATGTCTAGTATTTTATAATCTTTCATATTTGTTCCTTCTGTACATGTCAGATATTTTACCTGATTTGTTTAGGGTTTTTTGTTTTTGTTTTTTTTAATTTTTATGTCTTGGTGTTTCTAGTTTTTGTTAGCAGTGTGTGTAGAAGGTATTTGTTGCAGGGTGTGTTGCTGGGGTTTATTTTTTTACCTTTGTCTTTATAGTACATTTTTTATGTTATGTTTTATATAATGTAAGAAGAAATGTTTTTCCTTTGCCTGGGAAATGCAATCAGCAGTATTTTCAGTAGATTTTCTTTGTACTTTACATCTTTTTTAAGGGCAGGGTTTTTTTTAATCAGCTGGAAGATTAACTACAGGAACTTCATTAATGCTGCAATTTGCAATATGTAAATATGCAGAGTTTCTAACTTTGCTATGTACATTCCACATGTATCATTAGTCACTGTTAAGCACTTTGATCTTACTTAAAATAATTAAATGCTAAATGTATATTCTAATGTGAATCTTTCATATCAATATTTTTACTAATTAATTTTTATCTAATTTCTAATCTTAATCTAGAATTTGTGGCTATAGTTGCCTCTAAAGATTATGGCTTGAAACTGATAATAAATTCGATCTTTGTGATCTTTGGTTCTTAAATCTAGCTAGATTGCATTTTACTGTAAAAGATGACTTCATTCATGTTATTCCACTTTAGAATCACTTTATACATGTGCACAAATAATTTTACATAATTCCCAAATGTGATCATCTGGAGTATCAGCATTTTTTAGGAGCTGTGTGAGTGAGTGTGTGTGTGTGTGTGTGTGTGTGTGTGTGTGTGTGTGTGTGTGCGCGCGCGCACGCGTGCGCATGCGTGCTTGTATGCATGTGCACACCCCTACATGTTTGAATCGAAACAAGTGAACATGTCTCAATAGTGAATCAAACAAAAAAGAAATCAGAAGATTCCATTACTAATGTGCACTGTATTTAGTCAACTAAATACAAAGGGGTATTTATCTTTTTAAAAATAAATTTTAGATTTTTAAATTTTATGTGTATGAGTGTTTGCCTACATGCATGTATCTGCACTACTTGTGTGGAATGCCCTTGGAGGCCAGAAGAGGGCATTGGATCCTCTGGAACTGGAGTTACAGATGGCTGTTAGCCACCATGTGGTTCTGGAAACCAAACCCAGGTTCTCTAGAAGAGCAGCCAGTGCACTTAACTGCTGAGCCATGTTTCTTGCCCTGGCATTTCTTTTTTTTTTTTTTGATCTTTTTGAAACAGGGTCTCCCTGTAGCCCCAGCTGGCCTGGAACTCACTACGTAGACTAGCCTGGCTTTGAACTCACAGAGATCCACCTGCCTCTGCCTCCCAAGTGTTAGGACCACAGGCGTGCGCCACCACGCCCAGCAGCAGGTATTTCTTTTCTTTTCTTTTTTTTTTTTTTTTTTTGGTCTTTTTGAGACGGTCTCCCTGTAGCCCCAGCCGGCCTGGATTCACTATGGAGACCAGGCTGACCTCAACTCACAGAGATCCACCTGCCTCTGCCTCCCGAGTGCTGGGATTAAAGGCGTTTTAAGTTGGTGATAATAGCTCCTACCACTGTTAGTTTGTAAAGTGCTTCATCTCTCCTATTTAACATCTTTAGTAGCTCTGAAGTGTTATATGCTACTCTGTTCATAGATGTGGGAGTTGAGACCTAGCAGAATTAAGCCAGTTTAGATTATATAAGCAACAAAAGAAGCATTCCATCTAGAAAGAGGCCCAGAATTTGCCCTGCAGATAAAGCGAGTACACTGATACTATTAGGAGGACAGTAGTTGAAAGCTGGGGGGTGAAGCTCGGTGTAGAGTGCTTGCTTAGATACAGGAGAGCCCAGGTTCAATCTCCAGTTTTGCTTTGTTTTAGTTTGTGTTTTAAAGGTTATCTGAATGTTAGTTTAAATCTGCTTCTGTGGCTGGTTCCTGGCAACAAATTTTATGATGCTCATTGCTTTTATTTGTTTTTTTGTTTGTTTGTTTTTTATTTATTTATTTATTTATTTATTGGTCTTTTTGAGACAGGGTCTCCCTGTAGCTCCAGCTGTCCTGGAACTCACTATGTAGACCAGGCTGGCCTTGAACTCACAGAGATCTGCCTGCCTCTGCCTCCCGAGTAAAGGGAATCATTTGGAAAGCTATGAATATCTTTTTTCCAGTTTTCTAAATTTTACTCAAATTCAGTGTTTGATTTCACTATTATAAAATAATTTTGCATAAAATGATAACTTACTGTTAACTCTGAGTATCCTTAAGTTACATAATTAAACTTTTTGTTCAATACTGGGTGACATAAATGTTTCTCAATTTTCTGTGTTTATTCTACAGAATGGTAAATAACGCTGACTGTCTCTGAAAAGGATATTGATCCACCTCATGTAAAGTATGCTCAGTTCCTTTCCAGTGGTGTAAGTATTTAATTCCTCTCAACTTTCATCCTGTCCATCACCTTAATAAAGTCAAGAAATGATAGGGGTTATGATTCATATTTGAATATTTTTATTTATTTTATGTGTATGAATGTATTGCCTGCATGTAGATAAGTACACCTTTGTCATGCAGTGCTCATGGAGGACAGAAGAGGCCATCAGATCCGCTGGAACTGGAGTTATGGACAGTTGTTAGCTGCTATGTGGGTGCTGGGATTTGAACCCGGGTCTTCTGCAAAAACAACCAGTGTTCTTAACCACTGAGCCATCTCTCCAGCCCCATTTATTTCTTTTATAATATTTTCTTACTTATTTTATGTGTATGAGTGTATTGCCTATGTGTGTGTGTAAATCCACCTGTGTCATGCAATGACCACGGAGATCAGAAGAAGGCATTGGATCCCTTGGAACTGGAGTTACAAACAGTTGTTAGTCATCATGTGGGTGCTGGGAATCGAACCCAGGTTCTCTGCAAGAGCAGCCAGTGCTCTTTAACCACTGAGCCATCTCTCCAGCCTTACATTCATTTCTTTATTGGGAGGAGGGTTATGTACATGTGCCAGAGCATGTGTGTGGAGGTTAGAAGATAATTTGGTGGGAGTTGGCACTTCCCTTCTACATGTAGGCATTGGGTATTTAACTAGGTCACCAGGCTTGGTGGCAAGGACCTTTACCTTCTGAGCTATCTTGCCAGCCCAAGAACAAAGAATTTTTTAGAAAAAGACTTTAATGGTTAATTTTTTAAAACCATTTTTACTTTCAGCTTTGTATTTTGACATCAATTTTTCATTTAAACAAAACAATATTTAAAGGTTTATTTGTGTGCGTGTGCGCATGCTCATGAATGTGCAGATGCCTGCAGAGACCAGAGGTGTCAGATTCCTCCCTGGTGGTGAAATTATGGTTTGGATCTGCCTGGCATGGGTGCTAGGAACCAAACTTGGATCCTTTGTAAGGGCAGTATGCACATTTAGCCACTAAGCCATTTCCCCAGCCCCATATTTATTTGAGCTTGTGAGGTAGAAGCCAACTGTTAGAGGAGCTGGTGTTGGAGTCTTTGTTACAGACAGAATATGAGAAGTGTTTTGTCTTTGTGCCTTGTGTGCAAACTCCCAACACCTTAGCCAACACTCTTTACCTTCTGGGGATGATAATGCAGTTAAGCCTATTAGCTAAAGTTGTTTCTAGCTGTTCCTGGAGTCAGGCAGAAATACAAATTGAGATGGTGGTATTATCTTGAGAATGTTCTTGTGCTGAGATATGAACTGTAACCACCAGTTCATATTAAATAGGCCTCTGAATAAAAGTATTCCGGGAATTTCAGATACTAGAGAGGATAAAGTATCTATTAGCTCATTAAGTGCATCTTTAGCGTCTAGTACAAAGTGCCTTTAGCATAAGTATTTTCTAAAAATTGGTGGAGTCTGTTTCACTTAAATTCCATTTTGGTGACAGTTCTATAACCTAATAAGTAGACATTAACATTGGTTTTCTCTTTATTATTTATGGTTTACTTTTGGGGTCTATCACGTTGTCCCCTGTCCCTGCCCATTGATTCTGTGATCTGAAAAGTCTGGGATAGATCCAAATGATGACAGGAAGTAGATCCAGATGACAGGAAGTGCTGCCTGACTGCTCAGTAGCTGCGTCTGGGGCAGTCTGTCTCGGCCTTGCCCTCCCTGCTGCTTTGTTCTTCTCTTTTCTCCCTTTACTGAGACTGAGCTCTCACTAGAGTCTCAGATGGCCAGGAGCTTGCTGTATGCTGCAGGATGGCCTGGGACTAGCAACCATCCTGCCTCAACCTCCTGAGTCCTGGGATTATAGGTGTGTGCCACCATGCCTGGTTCTTCCATAGCAAATGTTTATCTCTCTCTACAAACTTGCATGTTTTTAACTTGGATTTTTCTTGTCTGTGTTGGAAATGAAGAGATGATCAAAGTATGATCTCACAAATCACACAGGTTATTGACAAAAAAAGAGATTCGCCCCCTCTGAGGTTCACAGTTATTTTTTGTTTCTTTCTTTGTTTGAGTCAAGATCTCATGTAGCCTTTGCTGCCGTGAAACTTGCTTTGTGGTCAAGGATAACCTTGAACTCCTAATCCTCCTGCCTCAGTCTCCCAAGTTCTGGGATTATAGTCATGTGTCCCCACACCCAACAAAGTTCACAGTTCTTGAGAAGGAATTGAATAGCATGAAGGGATGTCACAGGGAGTGTGCTTGATGGATGTGGTTGATGTATTTTAAGCACAAGTAACTTCCAAAACTCTTGAAGTCTCATTGCTCAGTTAATGTAGAATTGACTTCTGTGGGAAGTTCGTCTGTGATTGGGGCGCAACCTTCCAGGAGTGAACTTTAGTTGACCACCACAGCCGATCTATTGAAGTCTTGAAGAGAGGAAGGCACATAGTGGTCACGTTGCTTGGCTCTAAGCAGGACTTCTGTATCATCCCCTCTGAAGCCCAGGAAGCATCACAGAAGAGGAGGTGGAGGACAGTGGGAGCCAAAAGATAGGGAGCAGTGCAGTGGGGTGCTGTCTTCAGAGTGTGCTGTGACTGCTGCAGGCATGAACACATGGAAGGCAGGGTGTTACATACAAGAGTGGTATTGTCTAATTAAAAGTTAATTCAAAATAGAAAGTAAAACATTAAAAAAATCTATTAACAAATAAAAATAGCAATAAGTTTGGTTTGTTTGTTTGTTTGTTTTACAAAGGTTGTTTGATGCTGGAGGACAGAGCTGGTGTTTGCGGGTGAAACTTCAAAACTCTGAGGCCTGTCCTAGCCTGAGCTCTCAAAGTGTGTCAAGCTCTTTAGTTTATATGTATGTTGAAGGCCAGTAGGTGTAGTCAGTATCTTACTATGGGGTCTGTTGAGATGTAATGCGACATTCTTAAAGAAAGGAGAATTCTGAAATGGAGAGGTATTGATTCCAAATTCTTGCATTGAGGGGCTTGATAAGACTTCATATTCTCTGGCTGTGTATACCTTTAATCCCAGCACTGGGGCAGGAAGGCAGAGGGACTGTGTATTTGATGTCATTTTTAGCTGTGTGGCAAGCAAAGAACTTAACACTTTGAGAAGAAAGGGAGTCGCTCTAAGAATCTGTATTTGGGATGATAGACGTCAGGGTCTACGGTGGAAGGGAGACACACTGGTTTCTTATCAGAGAAAATGTATGTCATTGATGTGTTTGGAATCACTTCAAAGCTACATAACAGATTTCTTTTTCAAATGTGCATAAAATGGTTACAATTTTTTAAAATATTTTATTTGTTATTTTTATTTTATATATATGAGAGTTATGCCTGCATGTATGTAAGTGCACCCGTGTCATGCAGTGCCCGTGGAGGACAGAAGAGGCTGTCAGATCCCCTGGAACTGGAGTTATGGACAGTTGTTAGCTGCCATGTTGATGCTAGGATTCAAACCCGGGAGTTCTGCAAGAACAGTCAGTGTTCTTAACTGCTGAGCCATCTCTCCAGCCCCAAAATGGTTACAAGTTTAAAGAACTCAATCAGTGGTAATTTTAAAACTGCTGAAGTGTGATTGACATACTGGAACATCATATTTCTCTCAATCTTTTCATTGTGCTGGGGGTGGGGGGCTTGTTGTTAACCCCAGCACTGGGGATGCAGATACAGGCAGATCTCTGTGAGATCGAGGCCAGCCTGGTCTACCTGGTGAGTTCCAGCCAGTGAGATTACAGGGAGACCTTGTGTCAAAAAACAAACAAAGCTCCTTTTATCATAGTCATAGACTGTTAGGCTTGAGTCTGTTCGTCTAGTGATTTAAATTATAGAATCATTTTTACTCACTATGAAGCTCAGTTTCCAATAAAATATCTTTTATTTTTATTTGTCATTTTCTTGTTTTAAAATTGCCAGTCCTTTAATGGTAGTCATAATGGAGACAGGGCAGTGTGTGCATATGGTAAGAAGGGCCCGGTCCATCTGGTTGATGAGTATGGTGCTGGCCTCTAGAATCTAGATCCTTCTACAGGGAGTGCCACAGATGCTAAACAAAAGTGATTTTGCCTAGCCATTCTTGATAAGAAAGATAAAAAGAGCAGACTGCAACTAGAGGGCTTAATTACTCATAAAATCTTATTAGCTATTGATGCTCTACAATTAAGGTCATAATGTGCTTTTTGCCCCCATGATTTCAATGTTAGTCATTTCTGAATGCTTTAGCCTCTTCTTTTGTACGCATTTGTGGAATATAGTTTATAACACTACGTACTGGTCCTCTCGGCTTATCCAAGGAATGTTTTAGATATTATTGCAAAATACAATTAATGTCTCATGATATAATGTGCTCTTGCAATATCAACTTATGAACCCAGCCATAATTCCTGAACTGAATTGTTCTTTTATGTTGTAAACTTTGTGTTATTGCATTGTCAAAACTCTCACAGTATTTTCAACTATTATTATCTGAGTCTGCATTCAAATTAGTAATTTAAACCAAAAACCATTCCTTATTGAGCGAGCGATCTTTATGCATGAGGAAAGTAATTTAGCTCTTATGTGTCATCTTTGTTACAAAAAAGGATTGCTGATATCATGGATCTAGATGACCTTTATAGGTCATTTCCTGCCAGAATTTTATGATGTGCTTACAGTGGATAAATTATGAGGAATACAAATTGAAAATGTTGGCAGAGCGTGGTGGCGCATGGCTGTAGTCCCAGTACTTGGGGGGCAGAGGCAGACAGATCTGTGTGAGTTCGAGGCCAGCCTGGTCTACATAGTGAGTTCCAGGACAGCTGGGGCTATGGGGAGACCCTGTTTCAAAAAGACCAAAAAAAAGACAAAAACAAAAAACAACAAATTGAAAATGTTGTTTTATCCCTTCATTTATACTAATGCAATTGGAATAGCATTTTCAGTATCCAAGCAAGCTTCTGTTCTTGGTGTTTTCTCAATGAAATGCTGCATCTTAGTGTAGTATGCCTGGTGTGACACCCACTCAAGAGCCC